TATAACTCACTCTGTTGTCCAGGCATTATAAAGTTGATGTAGGGTGGGACATTGGAGAACAGGCTGGGTGTGAGTGCCGGCAGTAACGGCCCCGATACCTTGTCTGGAATCAGAATATATAAAATATTTATACAACTGATGAGATTATTAATTGAAGCATACGCAACATGACTAAAATGCTCAGTTTACTAATGCCAGTTTTCTGGCAAAAAATATTATTTGAAGGGTATTGGATATACTACACGTATACTACATGATTGAAACCAAATATGTTGACAAAATCCAAAAATGAACTCTTTGAATTCAGTTAAACGTTTTCAGGAGTTAACCTTTAACAGACTTCAATCTGACTTCTGCACAGATACCTCCATTAGTTGATGACAGTGTGACACAGTCAATGAAAGTTTGTGAACTGTCACTTAAACCATATGGTCCTTTTGGAGTTCGTTTTGGACAATGTACATCTGCATGGGTCGAGTCTGAGCAATTGACTGCAAGAGAAATTGTTTAAACTTATTTTCAATAAAAAAGAAGAAAATGACATAATTGTACAAATGCTGTCCCTATCAGAGGAATACATGCTGTATGGAATCGACATGGGTAGTTAAATTTCACATACGGTTGTTATAACTCACCTTTGTTAGTGTTTTGTCAAAATACAGTAACAAAATGTCCTGATTTCAAGAGGTATATTTCAAGATAGAAATACAGAGATGAGATACCTGTATTATAGCTGTGGTCGCAGAAAATCATAAATATCAGCACAGCCGATGTTGTCCACCCCTTCTTCCCAGCCATGCTTTTTGCTCTCGGTGCATTGGCCTAATTCATCTGACCTGAGGCTTAATATTGTACGATCGTTGGTGCTATATACAGGTGTGAACATTATTAACGACATTTCAAGCACTGTAGGTTGCTTGGGTAGTCAATACTATGTGGACAACAATCCGCTCGATGTGTATTTAAGTGGTCTCGTGTAACCGCAGAATGGTGGGAAGAGTTAGAGCCCATTCCAAATGATACTTTCGTTTTACGTAGATCAATCCAATGCAATCACTATTAACACGCCTCCTCCTGGCGTTGATTAGAACACCAAAAAGTTGGTGATTATAAACGAGTACGTTGGAAATAAAAGGAGGCGTGTTAATCTTCTAATCTGATTGCATTCAGCGAGGGTCTCCGCGGACTTGGATCGATATACATGACGTGGAGCGATACTTAGATTGGGAATAAAACCTGACGGAATGTGGTAAGTAGTTTTCCTTGGTTTGTTTTACAGCCAGCCACCCGTGCAGTTTGGGTCAGCATCTTCTTGTTGTTCGTATAATTTTATTCGGTTGAATGAAGTGAATTAGAATGGAATTATTTTCTCCTAGGGAGAAGCACTGTATATATTGTGCTACATGTTTTATTTGGAAGAGTTGTGGGTAAGTTACGACAGTTGTTCATTCGACCAGTTAGTGTAGTCCAGTCGACACGTAATTTTTTTTTTTTTTTTTTGGTTATTTTCGTTTAAATTTGTTAAATATATATGATTGTTTTTATATTATAATTACATTTGCTTTTTGGTGCGGTGATTGTTTGTATTTTTCAATTTTTTGTTAGAACGCAAGAGTGTTTGTGTTAGTGTGTGTAGGCCTACAGTGTACATGCATGTGTGCGTGCTGTTTAATGTTAGTATGTTTACGATTATGTATGAATACTTGTGTAAATTAAGATATTTTTGTGTTGTTTTACTTTCAGAATTTGCTAGTGCAAGTTGGGGTACAATAATGTTCATAAATATATGAATAAATAGTTTTGCTCAGTATGAGTTATTTGGGAGGTGGTTTCCCCTTGTTTCCCATTCACAATAAGCAGAAATCCAGATAAAACAACTTTAAGAAATTTTAATTTTGCAATAAAAGTGACTTGTTTTTATTCCCAAGAACACTGTCAAAGTAGCACTTATGGCAGTTAGTTGAAATCATGCTTCAACATGTTTGAACTGGCGGCACAGCGACTCCAAAATGTCTCTCCCTGCCTCTTGGTTGTCATGGAAACGGCTGATCCACTGGTGAAGAAGTAGGTTGTAGTACCTAAGAGACATCATTTTACGACATTAACGAGAGTCTTAAAATAAATAAATATATAAATAAATAAACAGTCCCTAGGCCTGTAGACAGCAATTTAAAAGATTTGGGGAGGGAGGTCTTTTTCTGAAAAAGTGGACATTTTACCAATAACCTACGTGTACCTAGATAAATGTTTACCCAGAGGGGACCTAAACCCAGGAAAAGGGGCGATCCCCCCCCCCCCCCCCCCCCGTAAATCCGTTTGAGAAAATCGTTTTAAAGGCCTTTAAATACATATTTTTGACGCTGAAGCCTTAACTTTTTTTTTTAAATTCTGATTTAAAAAGTCGAATAGTAAAACTTGCTTGACCTTGGTTGTTCAAAGAATCGTAGGTATGTCCCGGTATCTGGACCAGGAAATATTCTTTCAAACTGTCCCTTTCTGTTGTCTTCGTCTATTGTTTCTATCAGCATCCGCACGTCATCTGCTGTCAGGTTGTCTAATATGGTTTGTTGTTGGGTCTTGTCAATATAAAGAAAAAGTGTTTGCTTCTTTAGTTTATAGGGTAAAGATGAGTGTGTTGTTTTTACCCAAAGTGCTGATCAACGAGGCTTATTGATATGAAAGAGATCCACTTTCAGAGTACTGTGAGAAAATTTGGGAAGGTGGACAAGATTAACCATATTAGGAGTTCAAAAGCTTAAAAGGAAGTATGTCAATTATGACCATTATAATAACAGTAAAAATAGCGGTATAAATGCTAATATCGAATTAAAATCTTCTCCCCCTCCCCAACCCCAACTCTTCCCCAACTCTACCCACCTCACTAAGACTTTGCCTGTAGTATTCATGCTTCTCATGCGTCTCCGCGGACAGCGTCTGCACCCACAGCCTATGGTCCATAGTAAGGTGTTTAGGAACGCTTGACTTTCTGAAATATAACCACTTACATGTGCTTCAAATATGCGTTTGTGCGAATATCGACGGGTAAAGTGCAATTGTTTCTTGTAGGTGTAACATGAATAGGCAAAGGAAACGATTGGCTGTTAGAGGGTAGAACTTTACAAATTAAACATGACTGTTTAGATTTTAAATCGGGTGTTTACAAAGATTTATGTACGAGCTAGAGCGACAAGTCTACCTTTCCGGTCCCAACTGCGATCGAAACTCCCTGTTCCCCAGAAAGGGAACCTGTATACCAGCAAGGTTCAGCACATCCTTTAACAACGGTACGTGTACCTTGGTGAAGTTACGGTCCATACTGAAAGTTGATATGAATGCAATTGACTGCCGTCTGAGGCCTATCAGAGAATGAACAATGCCATCATCAAGCACTGGAATTGTTTTAATGGCCATTTCATAATACTAGGCGCTAATGAATTGATCAATAAAAACATTAACCTTCCAGAGGCGCCCCCTTAAATTGAAAAGCCAGGCACTTCGCTAATAGTAGCAGTCAGCATCTGGTTGATGAAAGCATAGCATTGCATCATCACACTTATATTACACATGATTAATCAAATGTAATTACTGAAGAACGTGCTCAAAATATGGTAAATATTATGATCAATAGTCATAGCTGTAAGATATTCTATGATGATGCTTATTCTGTAAAAAAAAAAAGAGAAAGAAAAGAGATATTAATGAAACAGAAATCGCCAACGTTTTTCTTTCCTTGTTTTTTTGGCCCAAAGATGGCCCAAGATAGAAACCATAACATGTGGATTTATTTATAGAATTCTCACTTACAAAGGAGACACGTTGACCTCAAGCACCCACGGTTTGAGGTTAGCGTCCAAAAGAACGTCGAAGCCAAAGAGTTCATGGACGCTGTATCTGCTCTTTAGGTAGGACTTGGCTGCCTTGCGCATGTCAGCCTCTCCGCTACGATATGTGATTAAACCATAATCATATAAAGATATCTGATATCAAGACTATACGTACTTGTATGAGATAATTGAGCGAACCGCTATGATAGGCAAGCCACTGTTTCAGGCTATACACAGAATGTTAACCTGCTGCGAAAATCAATTTACAAAATGTCAGAAGATTCAACTTATGGTCAGCAGGCTATGCACGGCTGCGCAACGGTTAAGAAACGTGCCAAAGTGTTTCTGTCAAACCAATATATCAATTTTTTAAATTATCGAAATACCTTTCCAACCCCTCGGACTGCATCAAGCATACAGTATATATTCCTTCTTTGAAGACCCGTATTGAAAGAAACGGTCACAGTTTAAGGCCAGATGTTTACCTTATGATAGTCTTGATAATTATTTCTTTTACATCCTCCCAAACCGGCTTTCGATCTATTCCGTGGTGCCGTTTTAAATATGCCCAAAACGTAGAATACGACCTGCAATGGAATTCATGGAGACCCAGCTTTGTCATATAGTGTCATGTTATATCGTATTTGCTATGTCATGCTATGACATGTTATGCTATGTCATGTTATGCTATGCCATGTTATGCTATATTATGTTACGCCTGTCATGATACGTTATATCATGTTATATCATTTTAGGATATGTCATCTTATTCTATGTTACGTCATGCTATGGCATGCTTTATCGTGTTAAGGTATACCATGTTATATGCTTTTATGTGATGGAAGATGTTTTATCATTTCATGTGATGTAAGATGTTTTTATGATAGACATCCTTCAACCATAAAGGGCCCCCTTAATTATGTACATTTTAAACATGTATTGAGAACAAGTTCATTAAAAGTTCATTACAACCGATGAAACATTACTGTTTATTTTTAAAAAACGTTGTCACAAAGCTACATATAATTTAGGAATTGTCATTTCATTTGAGTTATTCTTACCAAGTGTGTCCTTCTTGCATCTCATGATCGATACGAAAACCGTTCTTCTTACTATTGACAGCAAAGTTTGTTAAATGTGCGAATTTATTATTGACGTTCTTCATGGAAAACCTGAAATCGAAAAAGTTTAACGTGATTGTGGAGATAACCTTTGCCAAAACTCCAGTGTAAATTAAGGAAGATTATTACCAGAAAAGCAACCGCTTTCAGCCACCAAGAGTTTGATGAAATGTTATAGATTCGGTAAAATGTTGATTATCGATGTTTGTTTGCATCGAACTTAGAAAACCGGGTAAACACATGATCGAAACACATGGTGGTTTTATTAATTTTCATTTATTAACCAATGTGTGTGTGTGTGTGTGTTTGCTTCCATTTGTTTCTTGGACTTTATGTTGTAAAATATGGTGTGCGACAATGGCTCTCCTTTTGTTGACAATCTCTTTAAGCTGCAGTTTCGACTACTAAAGAATTAAATTATACAAAATATACTCACTTCTCGGAGGCAAATCTAACTAGACCTTCTGGGTATAGGTATATCCGTAATGGGTCCACCGAAGTCACTTCCACGTAAATCCGCAAATCGAACTTGTACCCTTTGATGAGGAAAGGGTTCGGGACATACCTTGTGTAATTTCGAAAAAGTGCAATGCAACAAATCATGTCAATAGATTATTTATACAGATGCACTAGCGTATCTGGGAACCGGGAAAAACACTCGAGCAACAGCCATAACATAGAATTAAAAACGTATTACAGTGTACATTTTGATGCTTTGATTTGGTCTGGAATGATAGTGAGAATAAGAATAATAAAACATTATTTCTTCAGATAGTCATTTGTCATAAAAAGAGAAATCAGTGCAGTTCGACAATACACAGGCACAATATATGTCTCAATAGTTTTGGTGCTTATAGCAAACTACTTGCCTTTGTACGACAGCATTTCGGAACCTGTTGGCGTCTTGCCACTTTCGTGTCATATATATTCCAGCTGCTTTACTGTAACAGTACTTTAAGCAAGGAGTGAAATGTACGTTACTATACATGATGGCAGTGCAGCATGTTTCATTCAATTAAGCAATGAATCAATCAGTATTTATCGATTTAATGGCCTATTTTACAAAGCCCATTGCAGAAAAATTTCATCGTGGAACAATTGCATGTGCTAACTTATAATCCATTTATAGGAAAGATATGCTGTAATGATAATTTAGAAATCTACAGAAAATGTGTTAAAAGATAAAAGAAAGAAACATTTCACAAAATTTAAGGCTCAAATGATACCAACTTCAATGACATACTTAGCAGGCAGCCTTTCGGTGGTCAGCAGATTTTTAAAAAGTCGATAGAGATAATTTAAACTGGTGCACTGGTTTAATCAGTATAATTGGATCAAATAACAGGCGCCGATTTCAACATTTACCGGTTTGACAATCCAGACATGGTCTTCAGTGCTGCTGTGTGAAAACTGTCGAAGCCCGTTGACATCAGTGGGAAGAACGAAGGTAGTTGGATAAAAGTCGTATTCCTTTTTCCCGTGAATCAGCGCCATGTTTTGCAAATTCCGCGTCAGTCTGTCTTTGCATCCAATTGTCCAGCTGTCCGGAATGAATTTGAACTGAAAGAAAAACTTCCACTAATTGTAAAACATCCAATTCATTGGCTTTATTCATTCTACAAAGAGTTAAATTGACAATATGTATATCGTGAAAATGAAATAAATTAATGGCTGTATTTGATCGCCTTTTACTGTCAACTTAGCCTGTCGATATTCAAGGATGGTTAGGGGTTGATGCCAATCGAACTAGACTCAATTCCCCTTTTTTCTGAAATCATATGGACTTTTTTTCAGAGATATTTTGATGGTCCATTTCCATTTCCATTGTATCCCCTAAACATCCTTAATTTACCTTCTGCTGCGGTGATATGTTCAGAAAAGATTCCACTTCCCTGGGTTTAAATGGTTCATGAAAGTACATCGTCCAGTTCTGAGTATCTGGAACCATAAAACATACTTTATATATTACAAAAGACTTTCCTTACTTAACAATTACAGACAGATACGGAAACCGATTGCGCCCTAAGATGCACTGCTAAAGTAATGCAGAGCATTTTTTTTTTCTTGAAATTTCTCAGATTGGAAAAGATGAGAATTTTCAATTTTGTTATGTAACCTGGATGCTAATTTCATAAACTTAACTCACCTTTTGTAGGTGCGAAACCAACTTTAAATGCCAGCTCTAAAGCAATATCGTTCCCCTTGTGATAAACAGTCAATAGGTTTCTTATCCGAGGACTCAACATATCAACTGAAGGCAAGGAATGTGAAAGATAAAAAGAACATATAGATCGAAGTTCAGTTTGTAATGCACTGTTGGTTTTTGTATATATTGTATTGTACGTATTACAATATTATATTAATATTTCAGTGACTGTGCACCTGTGAATGTGTATGTATTGTATTAAGTTACACAACTGTACTGATGTAGTGTATCTTTTTGTATTTGTAACATAATGTGCTTTCTGTTTCTGTGATGCATTGCATGTTTTTGTATGTTTATATATATATTGTAATGTGTTGTATTGTGTTTGTATATGCTTAATAAAAAAAAGGTTTGGTATGTTTTGCACAGAAGAAAAGACAACAAGTACGGATGCTGTCCATGAAATTTCTAATCTTTTTTTACGTTAACCTTGGTTTTCCTTCCTGGCCACACAGCATCAACCCGTTTTACCCCCCACAGTTACCAAAGAGCGCATTCAGAATACCGGACTAACAGACCCGCGGATCAAATATGATCGACCCAATTGAATGCTTGTTGCAATAATCCCCTTGGTTAATCTATTAAGTGTCTAATTGGGAATAAAGCGCCCAGCTTTTTAGTGGTTCTCCATATTTGATCCGCGGACAAGTATGTCCACTGTTGTGAATGTGCTCAAATTCTTTTCGATGGGAATTTTACGTATGTCAGTAAACAACCTCGACCAGCTCACCATCTTCATCCGGCAGCACGAAGTTGATGGTCGGTGGCACGTTTGAGAACAGGCTGGGAGTCAGGGCTGGATGCACATGGTGTTTTTCTTCATCTGGATATTCCTCAGGCTGAACTCGAACCGTGGTCCTGGGACAACTCTCTGATGGTTTTTCCCGGGTTCCTGTGCCGCCTGGAGTAGTTCCAGTGATTGCTTGTTTCTCACAAACATCATTATCCGGCCCATTTAGTTGGTGGCAATTGTATGCTATGATCAAATTATAAATTTAATGGTTAGTCTTAACAACATTAAGGTG